GACTAAAATCTCTGCACGGACTTTATCGTAGCTTTCACGGGCATGTGCACTAGTCCTGTTTTCCACCATCCCAACATATTTGTACCCTTCAGTTGTCTCCAATAACGCTGCATTTATCAGCGCATACTTCGGTGTTAGTGGCTGACTTTGCTGAATTCATTTCCAGTCCTACCACATTAAGAAACTTCTTAATCTCTTCGGTCATAGATTTCATAATATCCTCGTCGATCGCAAAGATCTTGGGATCATCCACAAACAAGAGATGATTAACTGAATCGAACGCTTTTTTGATGTCATACCACGTAGTGTAGAATTGGTTCCCGTGCTCTCTGCGAACCGCCAGGTTTAACAGTGCTTGTTCTTTCGCACCTTAAACCTGGGTAACAGTTCCTAACTGATTGTCTGCAAGCAGCTTTCTCATGGCAACATCTAACTGCATGGCGCGTGCTGCACATTTCGTTTTCAACTTGTAAAAGTTCGACATACGAGTTATTGGCCTGAAGTCGCTGCTTTTACTTATGACACCTTTTGGAATCAGGTAGATAGTACTTTCATGGAATCACGGATCCTGTTCCTCCTCATTCAGGCAAATTCTTCTTTCTGTTTTGTACAGGTCTGGATTCAAAGAGGTGCACTTCTTAATAAAGAAGTTATAGACTCCATTTCTGTAAGCACGGACGACCTGCTATACTGGTGATCACAGAATTCGCTTGCATTTTCAGTTATTCGAGGTTAATAACAAGAAAACTTCTCGGTATACAAAGAACGACACAATGGCCATCTCTTTCTCGGCATTCTTCCAAATCGGTCAAGGACCGATTTTAGCATCTATCCTGGCCATCTGCTTGTGAAATTTCGATACGGGCGAGTGCTTCAAACATGATCATTCTGCTGGCACCGAGTTGGGGCACACTGGCAGAGTGTTCTCTTACATCCTTCACACAGCTTTTTCCACCGCATATGTTTTTCCATTTTTTTTGTTTATGATTCCAGATGCAGATTTTTTCCTTTTTATCCTCCATTTTATGTTTCTCAGGGTCAACCTCGGAGTCAGCTGCTCAGCACTTCGGCAACGCCGATAACTTTCCACAATATTTCACAATATTCCACAATTTCCAAAATATTACATATTTATATAAGTGTACCTAGATTGTGGAATATTCTGAAAATTATGCAATATTGCAGAATACAACCGTGTGGGACATTTTTATTTCTATGCTTCTTGAATGCAGGTGCTCCGAGTCTACCGCTCACCACCTCTATATATTTATATAAATATTCTATTATATTAGTACGAAGTTTAAATTTTATTGCTATTAATTCTCAAATACCCAGGAAATTAATCACATTGGCAAAATCTTATTCTTAGTGAATGCTTCTAAAAAGGTTGTAAAACAAGAATCAGCGGGAGACTGCGAATTACAGCGATAGAACAACCCATGTGCAGAAAATTTGTAGCTCTTGCTGAATAAAGTAGTTGACAATCTGCTGAACATTCGGCAAATAGAACACTGAACTTGCAAGATCTTACCAAAAGCATTTTTTCAACAAAATCAATATAATCACTTTAAAATTTTTGAAAAGCATCTTTAGAAAATTTTGTTGCGAAAAGAGAAGAAAAAGCGACCACTAAACATTTTTTCTTTCGGCATCCTTTAAGAACAAGTTAGTAGCAAAATAAATTTCTTTTGATTCAGATGAGTCTTTTACAAGAGTCCCGACTATAAAAGCAAACTTCAATAGAAAAAGCCAAATGGAGCTGTCTGATAATATATGAGAGCGTATGCATTACCCACCATTGTTTATAAGTGAAATTAACGAGTGACTGCAAAAGCATGCGATTCATACTAAATACTGGCAATTTTCAAAAAATTTTAGATTCCATTTGGACGTGATCTCATTGCTTTGAGTGCAGCCAAATTCATAACCCGATAGTTTGTTTAACCAAGCATGTTTCCCAGCAGAAATGATGTCATCTCGTACTTACTTTCTCTTTTCAGTCATCATTAATATTTTAGTTAGGAAAACAAAAAGCTCACTTCTCAGTTTGAACAATTTCTCTCATCAGCTCTAAATGAGAGTAGTCGTAGTTCATTCTGAGTACTGGTTAAGTTTATAATAGCTCAGTTAGGTGTCTGAAGGAATGCCCCAAGGCAGTGTGTTTTCGCAACTTCAATCAACAACCCATTCCTTCCCGTTTTTTTTCTTTTTCCCTGCACATTGATTTTCCATGCTGTTTTTTTTTCACCAAAGAACAAGCTGGTGGTAAAGTACAATTATCGCACGTACACATATTTCCACATTTAACATTCCCACTGCTTTCATGCATTTTCTGGTTGAGCTCTATTCATTGTACATACACACGCACGCACCCATACACACAATCACACATACACACGGCACACGCACACGCACACGTCACGTACACAGAAGATGAATGCACTTGAGCACATATACATACACCAGGACAGACAGCCGTGTTTGATGGTTTACTTGAACGTTCTGAAATATTGGTAAGTTAACGGTGAGCTCACTCCGCTGATTACACTTTCTTTGCTTTATTTCGTTCCAATAAGAGAGCACTTCGCTGAAAACTTTTGCTCTTTGTTTTCTTTTGGCTGCCGGCTCGACCAACTTTCCTCTCTACTTTTGATTACTTCACTTCAAATAAAAATCATTTTTTTTGTCCATTCCTCGCATTTATTTGATCATCTTCAACTTGAACTAAGTATTCACTTACACCTGACCTCTAAGAACTGATGTAAAAATTTCGTTTTCATTGCATATCACGGTAAAGGTTATTTCATTCATACTGGTTGTTTCAGATCACTGCAAGAGGAACTTTCCACTTAATTGCTGTTTGTAGTGAAGAATCATTTCTTTTGAATCAGTTTTGTCACAGTAATTATATGATGCCCTGACAAGATGATAAAGGTGACATCTGAAGAGTGCTCAAAGAGTGTTACAACTAGCAAAAAGCTGAAACCAATACCTTTGCAAGAAAACGTCTCAGACGTGCTTGCCAAAAATTTCGCCTCATTGTCATTTGCTGATAAGCAATCATTTGTCGCTGATAACTTTTCTTCTTGCACCAGAGTCAACAAAAATGTCAGTCGAAACCTTCAAAGGATATCTCCATCTGACTTTGTCAGTTTGCAAAGATTGCGTTCTAGCGCTTTGGCGTGCAGAACAAGTACGGCAAATAAAATTAGTCGAGATGATACCACTCTGATCGATGACCTCTTGAATAACGATGCTGTTAAGGGAAATAAGGTATGCAGGTGTTTGGTCCAAATACTTCTACCTATTTGTTTCATTTTAATTAAGAAATTATTAAAAGCACTGCATTTTCCAGTAATTTAGTACAAATTTTTCTCACTTGTAAAATTCCTTTTTTATTATATTTTTTGTTTTTTTCTTTCGTTTCTTGTGTTGTGATTCAATTTCTATAATTCTACCGCTTGTTAAATCACAAGCGATTGAAAAAAAAGAGCTACTATTTCAAACTTGGCAGACTACTTGTTCATCATTTACATTGCTTTCATTTTTCTGTATGCAACAGATATGGTTCGCTTATTTTTAGGAGAAATACAGTAGAAATAAATCAAACACTAAAGATGAGGAGCTTTTTTTATCGAAGAAAACTTCGATGCAAGGTTCTTCAAGATCTAATAAAAATGAAGACTGCGACCAAATGGAATTGGTTAGAGGAGGAACAAGTGGAATATCCAATTTTAAATCTGAGGTCTTACTTTCTAGAGGACCTGTTCGAAGTATGCGTAATACTACTGTTGGCCATGCTCCTTACTCAGCAATAAATAATAATTCTGCTGCGGTTGCGCATTTTAGCACAAACATTGAAAATTACAGTTTATGCAGAAGGTATCAACATAACTTGGAAAATGCCGCCGTCTCATCTGTCGTTGACATCACATCGGATTTGACAAACTTCACATCAAGTAGCTCTACTCCAGAGACCGTCCAGTCGGACTTCGGCTACGGTTCATCAAGTCCACAGCAGCAGATCTCACCAAATTTGGGGCAGAATACATCTTGCAGACATGAGGATAACACTCAACTTCCTGAGGATCTTTCGGATTTCATTCTTAAATATTCTCACGAATATACGACTGCTGACCCATCACCAGAAGGTGAAACATCAGTGCGATCTAGGGGCAGCAGCATAAGCGATGGTAATAATCAAATGAATTACGATAGTCCCTTATATCGGATACTTTGTGAAGATATTTGTCTATCACCACTTTCTGCAAAAAGTGCATCACAGTGCTCTCCTGTTTTACCACGAACATCCGCTCATATTCCGGTTATTTTTGAGGAAAGTTCATTGAATACCACTAGTCCTTCTATAAATTTATTAAATTCTGGACCAGTAGTTATTAATCAAAGTAGACGTGAACGATTGACCCAACGACATGCAAAAAACCGTTTGCGTGCTTTAATTGCTGACAATGAAATGGTGGAAGCCTGGGCATGGACTTGTAAATGTATTCAGGTCATTTTTTAACTTCAAAATCACTTGTTTTGTAGAAAAAAATAACTCTTACAAAAAGTTGCAAAAGTATTTTGATATTGCATACACTACTTTTTTTGCAACTTCTTATTTGTCTAGTCTCACTGAAATATTACGACCATTAGGGATGATACTGTATCAAGTTTGTTGCATAAATCTGGATTTGTTACTGTAAAAGTATACAAATCTTCACTCAAAACAGATCAACTCAGCGTAGTTATTTAATTTCTTTGTTTTTTGTAATCAAAGTAAATGACACTCCTCTGTAGTAATATCTTGCATTACAGGAATTAAAGGATGCACTGTGCTATCAGGATCCAGATGGAGACAGCCTTCTACACATTGTGATTCTACATATGGATCTTGCCAAAGTGTATGCACTTGTTGAGCAAATGTTAAAATCTGAAGATGCTCAAACACGACTAGCTTTCGATTTGCCAAATCGAGTTCTTGAGACACCTCTTCATCTGGCTGTACAAAAAAATAGTGCTGAATTGGTGGCGTATCTGGTCGAAGCCGGTGCAAATCCTAATCATCAAACAGCATCACCTAGTCAACAAACACCATTACATTGTGCTTCATTGAACGGATTTACCGAAATCGTTGAGGTGATCTGATCACTGAATGTAATCACTAATTAATTATGTAAAATAGTTTATTGAATTGTTTCTTTTTTCTGAAGACGGTTTTTTTGGTTTCTTACAACACATAGGTCGGAGATCAAAAAATTTCTTTCTTAATTTTCAGCTTGAGTATGATAATTTTCTTTAGATCCTTTGTTCAAGTGCGAAAGTTGATGTTAACTTACAAAACGGAATGGGACAAACGCCTTTACTGTGTGCTGTTAAGGAGCATTGTATGGACTCAAGGAAGAGTAGACTGTATATTGATAACAGGCGAACAATAATGTGTCTTTTGAAATACGGTGCTAATCCAATGAGTGTAGTAAGTTCATTTCCTAGAACTTAGATTTATTCTGTATTTTCATAAAAATATACTTTAATAATTTGTAGTAGCGAAAGCGATTCTTGACAAGAAATTTAAACTCTGATATTTTACTGAAGACTTTTTGCTTTGACTGTGATATAGCATTAATGACTCAGTTTCGTATAGGATTTATATGGGAACAATATTCTTCATTACGCAGTGAACAGTTTAGATGCAGATCTTATTGAGGTATGTTTTGTTCTTCAGAGTTCTTGAGTCAATTTCTTCTGTCTCTGCATTATAGACAATGTTTAACTGCGGTGAAATGTCTCAAAATAAACTTACATTTGTCAAATGGGAATTTTATCGCTAAGTACAAATTATTTGTTGTTAGTGTAATCTACATTAATAGTTTACAAAAACAGTATCACTTTGAAAAAAAGAAGTGATTTTATGAAAGTTACAAAAGTATGATTTCATTCAGATGTTCAAATCATCTGTAGATGAGGAAACTATTGCAAAATTGGCAAATAAAGAAAATATTTGTGGAGAAACACCACTGGACAGTTTGCATTGTGAAGCTGGAACACAAAACGAACGTCTTCGTACCAATGTTTTCATAAGCTTGTTACGATGCGGTGCTACTATCAAATCCCACTGAATTTTGTCAGAAGTTTTTCTCTCTATCGTGAAGCAGGGTATTATTATAGCTTTCAAAAGTTAAACAGTGATATTGTTGGCATACTTTGTTTGCTCTAGAGCTCTTTCGATGTGATTGAAATTTTGAGTAAATTTTTCACATACCATCTCTCTGAAGTCTAGAAAAATATATTCAACTCTGAACTTAAAATTTTTCAGTTCTCTTCAGCTTCAACAAATTATACTTTTTTACTGTTAAAATAGTTTACTTTTCCTGGTCCCTGAATTAATTTGTTTAATTATTCACTTTATAATCAATTTACAAGCATATATCAATAATCTTTATGCATAAAATGGTCATTATTGATGTACCTCATTATTTTTTATTCATTGATTCGTACGATCGTTTTAAATCATTTCTATTAATATTTTTTTCAAATAATTCAGAACATTGTGGTTGTTTAGAAGATGATGTGTTTTTCTGTCTTAATCGTCTCTCAGTAGTACTGTTTTGGTCTTGGCAATTTTTGGTAATTGATAACCTGGAGAACTTGAAGACCAAATATTTGTTTTGGAGTAGAAGGCTGCTACACATAATTATCTGTTAATATTTTTGGTCTGATATTTTTATAAGTAAACGAACATTGTGAAATCTATCAATTTAATGAATAGAGTCGATAGCAGTGTACTTCATTTTACATCATAAAACTTAAACTAAAGGCTCTGTGATCGGATTCTTGTTCTCACAGATTTGAAATTTTTGAATTTAAAGGGTGATCTAAATGAAAATCTTACTGACCTCAAGTTTTTCATAATTATAATCAGTTTCATGTACAGATGATATTTTGCAGAGAAACCAAAACTTGAAGTTCTATCCTTGGGGTTGATTTCAATGGATTTATGGATTTAGATATGCGTTTTTTAATTGGGAGACTGTTTAAAAACAAGAATTTGGCTCTAACGTTATCACTATAAACAAATTATTTTCTCAACCGTCCTGCTACAGAAATACGCAACCAAAATTATATTGCATTCAAAAGCAGAATGGAAGTCGTCAGATTGTAATGATCAAGGATTTATGAGAAATTTTCTCTTTTGCATTGTATGTGCTATAAGTATGCTAGTATAGAGTTTGAATATTGAGTGACTAGATGTAGATGGTGAATGGTTTAAGCCAGGACAACGAGAATTTAATTTTGGACTCAGAGTAATTATCGTCCTATAAGTCGTAAAGAAGTTATATCTGATGTGTCTTTGTTACAGACTTATATTAATAAGAAGATTTCATCATAGCAAAGATTCGTATGCAGTTCGAATAATCAATTTTCAAATTTTTATGGAAATAAGTACTCATGCGATATAATCAATGCAAGGTGAAGTATAGAAAGACCAGGTCGCAAGCAAAGTTTGGAAATATGCAGTTTTAGGTTTATTCATAAAATACAAGAAGGAATATGTATGCAGATGTGTAGGGAAAAAAGTTGAAATGAAAAACAAGATAAGATTTGAAACAATGCTGCGAGGAGTTCACTGTTAGTGGGATTTATTGCCAGGAACTGACGTTTCTGAAACGCCAAAACTGTTGTAAATTTCATATAAAGAGCCGATCTTTAGCATAAATTAGCCTAGTTTCGAAAAACTGATTACTGATACTGAATGTTGAAGAAGAATAATTTACAAAAATTGATTTCAGAATACTTTTAGAAAGATATATGAATAGTTGAAAAAAAAAAAACAAGTGATCAGAAGTAATTGAAGCTGTCTTTTATTTTCGCACAGTGAGATATAATAGCTATTATTGATACCAAAACTCATAGCACATGAACATGGTGACATTGGAGATGACTAGGAAGAGATAAGTAGTAAGTGAAATATTTTCCAATCTTCGAATGACCCTTTCCCAATGAGTAGGTAAGCAATGTCGTCTTTGGGCTTCTTCCTTCATTTGAATGAACTCTCTCATCAAATTGACCAATAGCTCTAGGCGCTGTATATTCAATGGTGGTGGTGCTTCAGCAATTGCTTCTGATACTGCTGTTTCTTGATGACATTCTGCCATGTTTATCTGTAATATGTTCGTAAATTTTCTTTATACTTTTAAAGAAGCGAGTTCTCTTGGCGTATCACTTTCTGACTTTCAAAAAGCAAGAGAAGAAAATACACGTTGGTTTGATACTTAAAATCAAAAAGTACTTGAGATGTAAGAACAGAAAACAAATAAATTAGCTAGACCTCCATCACGCGAAGTTCCTCTTTTATGCAGTAGTTGATGGTTATTAAATACTCTTTCAAAAATTGACAACCAAGTTGTCAGGTGAAAACGGTTCTAAATACCTGCTGTTTCTTTGAAAGTCTCAAACTTTTTATGGGTTTCATAAGTGTAAATATTGTTTCCGATATTATTTCATGCCATCTGTCACACATTCAAAACCATATTATACTGAAACTTACTGCATAAAGTCCTTGCTCACAAAAAAACCTTTTTTGTTCCATGAAAACAAACATTTAATCAAGTTTCAAACACGACAAGAGAGGTGCTTGTGGAACTATTCAGATTGAAATAAATTGTATATTTACGTCAGCAGGTATGATATCTCGAAATGTGAAGCTTTCAGACGTTGAGGTTACAAAACGCGTTGTAATGTCGTGGTTCCGCTTGATGTCTTCACAGCTAGCAATACGAAACTTCTTGGGTACGTAGCAGAAGAATAATCGCTTGGCAGTCAAGAATCGTAAACACCAAGGAATCGCCTGCAAGAATATAGCAACAAAATATTGTGACTCTTACATTTTAAATCATTTTCTTAGAAGTATACTTTTATTTCAATTTAGGAGCATAAAATAATCATTATTGCGCAACATGTTGAATAAACAAATAAATAAAAATTATTTAATAGATAAATATTAAATAAATAAGTAAACAAGTAATTAAATAAATATAAGAGGAACCTGAATATACTGATGGCGCAAAGCGTACTTCTCTAAATAAACAAATATTGAACTAGTGCATGTGGCCACGCTTATGATAAGCATTTGTATCATATGAAATAGCCCTGTAAAATCGCTTAGTAAACGATGCAAGCACTGAAATTTGCTGTCTCTTAAAAGCACAATTCTACACAACCAAAAACCAACCAAGCAAAGGCACATCGGAAAATGAGCCTCTTTGACCTGGTATTGATTCCAGTGCAAATTTCATTTCGTCAACTAGCATCAAAAGCATAACAGACATACTTAACAATGTCATAATACCCAGACGAAATTTACTTTCTCGACGACCGGTAGCATTTATTGGAACATGAAAGCCAATAACTGCTACAAGGCTCACCTAAATAGATACCGAGGTACTAATTGAATTGTATTGTAGCCATAATTCGAAAATTTAAGCACCAATTATACTTTTGTAATGTTTTCATGAATTTTAGAAAAAATGCACTAATAGGACATACTTTTATATTATGTACCACATCTCATAGGTGACAAAATTTTCTCAAATTTCTGATACACAACCACAGATCATGATAATTTATGTGCTCAGAACTAAATTGCTAAAGCATAAAAATTTCTCTTGTTAAAAAATAAGTTGCTCACCAAAGTGGTTGGGAAAACAAAGTTGAAAACGTAATAAAATGACTGTCTTCGAAGGATTAAAATCATATAAACTGAGGAAAATGATTCTTGCTGGAGATATTCCATCGTGCCTGTAGTACTGCTTGAATGTTTAATGTTGCTTAGCTATTGAATTCTTGCAACTCAGTATTGCTAAATTAAGATTTTTACAAAAGAGTAATAAATAATGGGACATTTTGAATTCTCTGAACATTATTTGAATCAAAAGAAATATAAACTAATTTTTTGATATAACCATTGAGTAGTGTAGCATTTTCTAGCAGCCATTCTTGATTGTCATAAAAATCACCAAGAAATACTTCTTGTTGGTCAACAATCAAATTTACGTATTCATACTGATATGACCATGAACCACACTGCAAATAATAGTTATTATTTACTGTCAATCGAATTTATAATCAAAAAATCCAATTGATTAAATACACAAAATGAATAATAATGACGAATATAGGCAAGTCAAATTTTTGAAGGATGAATTTCAATATATCAAGAATTTTATTATTGGCGTGGTTCATTTTTATTCTGCCCATAATCATTAAAAAGCTAACAGCTTAAGAATTAGAACAGCAATGTCAACAAAAAAGGTTAAAAAATAAATTGCATTTTTTAAATCTCTTCAAGTTATGTAGCTTGAATTACTTGACAGAAATAAAAAAGTGCTCTGAAAAAAACAAGGAATTTATTGGAAGACTTTAGGACAGTGATCAAAAAATATGGGTACCTCTGTATCAATATATTATAATAGAGTTCACAACATTTCAACAGAATATTTAGCGTATATTCTGACAAACATTATTATTAGGCGAAACTACTATTCCATTTTATATATGTTACATGATTAACGATGATTTTGAAGATGGAATATTGTTTGGTTGTTTTTATCTTCTAATAGGTGCATGAAAATTATACTGATAGCAATTGTTAAAATTTCGCTAGCAATAATTTGAAAAAATAAAACACAATTTTTCATTCATTGGAAACGTCACTCTTCAGAAGAATTAATTTTGATGCACTAGTATTGTTTCTTTATAATGAAGCTAATCCAGTTGATAAGCATGCAAAAAAAAAAAAGATATTTCCCTCAATTTTTTGTAACCCTATTTTATTTCACACTCAATACTCTTATGTAGACTAAATGACAGTTTTCATCTTAGCAGTCTGTAACATATAGCTAGAAAATATATTCTGTAAGTTTCTTAACTGAACGCTTCATTTATGATCGTATTTGAAAGTAACTAACCGCGAAAGTACAATTTTGTACATCGAAAGGAAAGTGTTTAACATTTATGGGACATAGGGCACGTGCAGTGACAGGAATAAAAATACGTAGGCGACCACTGGCATTGATTTCCGCAACTGAATCAGAAGCATAATCTGGGACACGACCTTGTATACTGAAATTACTCGTGCTGAGAAATATTGGGATTGTTTGCTCTAAATTAATCAAGTTCTATTTATTTTATATTATTTATTCCTTTCGTGGTTGAAAACACGAAAAAAGATAATAAAAAGAACGAATAGAATTTGATGAATTTAGATTTGGTGACTTAAATTGCTTTTTTCTAGCACTGAAGAAAATTGGAAGAAACCAATGTATTATTTTGAGAATATTACCTGTGATATAAGTATAATTCAGGTTTCCAAACCCAGTTTATAGGTATGAATGTTCTATTGATATTATCAAATTTGCTGGCGTTCCATCTCAGTGATCGATCAATCCACCATGCATCGAAATAACCGGATATCGTTGCTATGTTATTTCGTTGATCCTGAATTATTCCAAATAAATAACAGCAAAACAGATTTATAAATAAACTAATTAATTTATTATTATTTGGAAAATTTTACAGTACTGCTTAATGAATTACAACTAAAAATTTTGTTATTTTTTTCAGTGCTGTGAATGAGATAAGCTGATTATCCATATGTTTTTTTAAAGTATGAGCGCGAATTGCATCAACAATTAAACTATTGTAAAAGAGTTTTTATAGAATATAAGTTTGATCACTCATCGTGACATCATGTTTAACTGGAAGTATTTTTTAACTGCTAATCTTAATTAAGGACACTCTGTTTTTAATTTAATAGTCTCTATTTTATCTGGTATGAAACAGACCAAATCAACGATTTGATAGAGAGCTGCTCGTACATGAACGTCGACTGGAGTGTGAAGGTGCTGGACTGGTCGTTGGAATGGTTGTGCCCTAGCCTTGATATCGTTCAAAAGACGTGTATGTACATCTTTAATATTTTCATTACTAGTTATTTCATCTTCGTTTCTAATTTGTTCGTCATCCAATATATTCCGCTTTTCAAAACTATCCGATACTACCAGAATATCTTCCTTGGATACGAAACCATATATCACTAAAAATTTTGCTGCTAACTATTATCTTGTATTTTCCGAAAATCCTACGACTGTCAGCTAATAAGCAGCTTTTATGAGAAACATCTACAGTGTGCTCTGCTAATTTATATAAAATGATCATTAGTTTTGTACATTGGCTTTTTTCTGAAGAGACCTTAAAATTTGGAAACAGCTAATAGGCTAACGTTGCACAGCAATGATATGCAGGAAGCTCTGCGTGATGACATGTCCGAGGAGCATGAAGTAGCTGAAGAAGCCAAGTAATTGAAGTCTATCAACAACAGTGTAATTGCAGAGAAAATTTTGATTAATCCATAACGAATATCTAAAATAGATTGTAGTGAAAACTAAACCAACTTAAAAATTATCCAGTATTTTTTTTTAATGCGGGAAAAATGAAAAATCAAGAACATTTAGACAAATAATTTATTAAGTGAAGACGATGACATGGTTTAGTTCAAGTTCAAATACGAAAACATAATTAATGTGGATATTATTATTTGTTTGATGCTACGAAATTAACAGAATACTGAAGTTTCAAAAATCAAAAAGTATAATTCGGATTTTTTAACATTTTAACGGTATTTTTCCATTTTTGCAAAGTGTATAGCCATTTTTTTGATTAGCACTAATTAACGATTCGCTAAAAGATAATTTTAGGTCAACAAATACATGATTGAAAATGCGAGCCTTCAAAATTTACCTATCAAAATTAATTTGAAAGGATACATGAAGTGAAAACATTTTCTATAATATATAGAATATAAAGTTTGGTCATATAAATAATAAATTAGTTCTCGAGCTCAACAAAAGTGCAAATTAGTCAGAGATATTATCACTGCTATTGCTATTGCTGATTTTTAACAAAATTTTTTAGTATTTATCATGAATCTACATGTGCTGCTTAATTTTATCACTCAATAAATGGTGAACATGATTGTTTGATATCTGCAGAATAAATTATTCATTTTAGTCAACCAACAATTCAGTGAACTTATCAATCTGAAACATATTTTCTTATCCTATCCAAAATTCCTTTGGGTGTAATTTCACACAGCTGAGCTATCAGATCTAATTTTAGAACATCCTTGCCTAACACAAATATTATTTTCTTTGTTAATTATTACCCTAAATCAATTTCTTTTATTCCAGTCTGTGTTTGTCTTCTTTCATTGAGTTTTACTAGAATTTTTATTTTTAATGTTTGTCAACGCTGAAAACTGTGAAGCTGAAAGAGAACAGATGAAAGAGAATATAAAGTATCCGAAGTTTGTAACAAAAGCAGTCCTTAGCAACATGTTTACCATGCATTAAAATGTTGCATATGTGTCAGATATAATGCATTCTTTATGCAACTGTGAATCAATTTAAAGCAAAGCAAATTACATTAGTTTGTCCAAGTAAAAGAAGAAATTAAATTCATTCATGCAAGAAAGATGAGATGAGCTCAAAAGTAGATCACGTTCGAAGTAGGATGTAATGGAAGTAACTAAGACTTGAATCAAACTGTAAATTAAGCATATCAAAAAAGTTAAAATTTTATGAATATTTCTTACTTTACTGCTGAGAATGCCTATAATAAATCTTTCCAAAAACGTATTTTCTATAGAAAAAAATTACGTCTTTCATTAAAAAGTATACTTATAGAAGAATGACTACAGCAATAACTATTAAATTTGTCCTTAATTTAAAGTATTAAAAAAGTATAAATAAGGCAAAAGGAGCCAACAGTTTCTATGAAACTATAAAGCACTGAATCTAATTTTTAACGCTATGCTTGCACCACTATAAATAGGCAATTATTTGCTTTTGGCAGTCAAAACACCAAACTTTAATTCTTTAAATTAGCTCCTGTATTCAATAAAAAACATTTACTGTAAGATTCTTTTAAAATCGTCAATAATAAAGATACGCTTTGGATTAATTGTATGCCCCAACATCAGTTTTGGAAATGAATTATTTCAAACTGAATTTGCATTGCAATTTATTTCAATAACGTACAATATACATTTGTCTCCTTACGTCGTCTTAATTTTCTGATATCAAAAGAAGTTCTGATGGAAGCACATAGCATAAATAATAAATAGCAAGTTGCATCGCAAAGTGAACCGTTGTTTTATATTTTTATCTTTTTATTCATCCACTACAACAAACGAATGAAGCAAAATGTAGAAAACTAAAAATTTAACTGGTAAAAGAAAAATATTTTAACAACAGTTTGTAAAAATAAAAAGTAAAAAATAACACAAGTTTGATAAATAATTAAAATCGATAAGATAACTTTTTGGAATTTCAAAAATAAAATAAGGTTAAAGGTGGTAAAAAAGTTCACCATATACTTTTAGTGCCATCATTGTCGTGCATTCGCTTCACTCTAAAAAACTTTCATGCTTCTGACTCTAGAGAATACTTGAAAAGCTATACATCTATCTACAACGCACATGTTTTTAAATATATGCTATGAATTATATTGTGCTTTTTCAGCTGTAACCAATAAATAAACTCGTATGCTGACACACTGAAACTTGTCAGTTCATTTGAATAATAAATGCGAGAATGCCGACTGGTACTGCAAAGAACTAAAAAATTTTCTGCAAATTTGCTTTTTGCAGTCATATGCATAGAAGTGACATGTGTCATAAATGCAAAAATCGTCGCATACAACCAGTTAGTGTTTCTACATTACTCCAAAAGTTACTCAAGAAAACAACTTAAAATAGATCAATTTACTCAAATAATTAAAAAAAATCTCATGCTAATTCTAAATAACTTACTCTACTAATACTTAAAATGAGAAAATAGAGTGTAAAAAAAACAAGAAGATGTAGCACTTTTAATTTGCGTGAATTCACACAAATCTGGAATATTAGCTTTTATTTGAATCCTAATTTAAATCGTAGTAAAATTATATGAAAAAGTTTAGAAAACTGAAAAATAAGCTATATAATCAGCTTTATTATACTCTTCATAAATCAATGAAGAGTATAATAAAGCTTAAAAAGCAAAAGCACAGAATACAAACAATAATATTACTGTTGACTTGACAAAATCGTAAATTGTCCGATCCTTAAATAATTACTCCAGGAAAAATTTGAAATACTTCAATGGTGAGAATGAAAACGAAATTATAGGCATAAATTTGTCAGCAAAAAATGTCTATATTTTTTGAACATCACAGCAATTGCTAGCAAATTAAGAAAGTTTTATGATAATAATATTCTATTCAATTACATGATCAATTACATGATCAACAGTGAAAGTATATACTCTTTCTGATTCCTGAAGAATGATTATTTTGAACACAGCAATTCTTTTCTGACATCTATTAATCTATGTAAATTTATGTTTTAATTTTTAAAATGCTAATGCAGCTTTCTAGCAAAAATGTAGCTGACTTTATTGTTTTTGCACCACTTTTTTTCTCTTTCAGTTGAGCTGAGCAACTGAGTATCACTTTTGGAACACTTAAACAGTCAAGCGTACGTAAGGGAAATTTATCTGCTACTATATAACAACACAAAAGCACTTTAAGAAAAAACATTCATGCAATGAAGATAATGAAAAAATAAATAACTAATGATGGATTCCATCTCAAAAATTTGATGTTGTATTTTGAAAATTCACTTGAAAAATAACTTTCAGAGCATTCAAAATAAAAAAAGTTAAGTTTCATGCAGAGATCAAGTGCAATGAATGTACATTTTTTCATTTCACTTCTGTGTATTTTGTGGAAATGTGAGATAAAAATAAGCAAATTGCAGTTCATATTGTCAACATTTAGCTTGAAGGATAAATGATGGAAGAGTGAGTGCTTCATTACTTTCATCTTTTTGCATTTGTTTTCATATCAGCAGTTTAAAAAAGAGCAGATAGAAAAATCATTCAGTAAGCATAGCAAATTAATCTGCCATTTTGGTTTAACTTTTTCGTAACACAGAAAAACTAAATTAAGTGCATTTTAAAAAAGTGAGTTTCATTGCTGAATAATAACGTGGAAAAGTACTGTATAAGCTAGCAACACTGTTGTGATGGAATAAATATGATGACATTCGATATTTGTCACAAAATTTCACATTATCTTCAAGTTCAAAAGAAGCAAGTCATTTGAAGCTATCATTAACGTATTTAATCCTATCTCTCATTTCGTACAGTAACCATTATCAACTGAGAATAACAAAGAAACTAGAATAATTTTGTATTACAAGAGTATGAAAATAGATAAGTGTGATAAGCAAAGCTTTAAAATTGATCATGATAGATTTTGACTTTCAAAAGTGACTTCTATCTAATTCTTAGCTATATTAAGATCATTAATTTTTACTTACAGATAAAAAATTCATGCTTTTGAATAATAAGTTAACGTTTTCTTTGAAAATTTTTTGGTCTTTAGAGACAAAAATTTCAAAACGACTTAATTATTGTAAAATATTATTTCAGTACATTACTACAGTATTAGGTATATTGACAGCAATTTAATTTCTTAAATTAAAAAGAATTACGGATTTACAAAGTTTTTGACACATACCATTGAGACATGTTGCATCTCTTAATTCTTGTTATTTCGGTTGGTAATTACTTAGTTTTCAGGATTCTCAAGTAAGAGAATTGTACAGAATACATGTGGAATAATAATTTAAATGAAGCAGGGAGCAGAAAAATTATATAAATTGATGAACAAAACTTAATTTCAAGACAGATCATCCTAGAAATCTCATAAGTAATTACCAAGAAATTATGATCTAATATTACTGAAATACAAAAATTTTTATTGCGATTTGTATTTTGTTTTGAAAGATCAGTAGCTATATAGTAAAGTTAATTACGGCATACTAATTTTGAATTTATGAAAGTTTTGAACTGCAAAATTTTCGGGTTTTAAATGGAATGGAATAATTCAAAAGGCTTGGTTCAAAGACTAGATAGATATTATTTTAGGATATAAAAATGAAGCAATTATCAAAGAAACGACTGCATTTTGAAAACTTTTGTCAGTAGGTTTTTTGGATGCAGCTGGTGGTGAAGATCGATTGGAAAAGAATGCTTGCTTGAGATCTATTCTTCACTAAGGAAAAGATGGTGAGGAGATATTCTTCATCAGTGCTACGAATCTCAAATAATACAAAATAAAATATTTTACATAATTACATTATAATAAGTTTCTTTTTCAACAATAGTATTCTACAGCACTATGAAAACCAAAAGTGTTTGGAAAGTGCGATTTAATGAAAAAATAAACTTGCTATTGGTCTAAAAATATGACGCTTAAGATAAATATGACAATTTTTCAGCATAGTGTGCATAAATTTTCTCGAAATTGCACAACTTTATCCAATAAATATCAGGCAAAGCAGTAAAATGCAAAATTCAAAACAACCCAGTTTATTCCAATAAAAAGGTTTGCGTCGCTTTTTTCAATTTTAAAGTGATAAATTTGAAAATGAATAATTTTGATTTCTAGATAATTTTTTTATTCACTTTTATGCATATTTATGACCGAGTGATCAATACTGATTTATGGACCAATTTAAATATTTTCGTTTTTTTGAAGTTTACTACAAACTGAAACCTCATTTAAAAATGCAGTCAGCTGTCAGAAAGTTTCTTTACTAAGTTTGAAATATCAAAAAAGGACAAAATTATAATCAAAATTATGAATTAAATAGACTGCTAAAATTTATAAATCAACTTTCATGGTAAATAATTATCTATTACAGTTTTTGCTTCTACATTTTTGCAAAACATACTTCAGGTTAAATTTTATTGTTTAGAATTAGCAAAAGATAATGAACGATGTTTACGTAGTTTGCAATTATTTAAATAATATTATAATTAAATGAATAGTTAAGTAGTTTGGACAGTCATTTATCTTGTTGATTAACTTGTGAATCAAGCATTTATTTTCAAAAACAAATTTAAAGATACTGTCAGACTGTAACAGAGTCGAATTCTCAAACATATAAAATTAGAAAATTCATTTTTTTCATTATACATAAATTGAAATCAAAAAGCGAATTTTCCAGTGGTGTCGTAGCCGATCCTTGTGATTGAATAATTTTGTTTTAAGAAGAGCTATCCAAAACGATGCATCCATTTCCTAAAATAAAAAAATTTTCTCTAGAACTAGATGTTATGAGCTGCTAAAATGTATCGATATTTTTAGCTAAAAAAAGAGATAACTAAAATGCGTTCCAAATGAAAATTGCTTTGCAAAAATCAGTTTTTTCAGCCTGTTTTTGTTGGCTTACTTTAGGGTTTACTTTTGTGTGGTAATTATTAATAATTATAAATTCTAATGCACTGCAAGTAATCAAAATCATCGGTATTCATAAAATAATTGCATTCTATATAATATAATTAAATAACATTATCAAAGAATATCACAAACCAAATGTGCACCAACTAATTTGTGGTACGGTACTTTTCAACATGTTAATTTTAAGGGCTATTTTATGAGCTTTAGTTAGGTTTTTATTGCCTTTTCATAATTTTTGAAATAACTGAGTGATAATCAACATGAATTTTTCGATATTTTCTATTTAAAATTCAAAATAGATTACAGAATAAAAAATTCAAATATTTAACTTCCAATGCCAGCAAGACGCTTAGAAAAATCTGTCAATTCCTTCAGTTTTTACAAAGATAAATTGAGCCATGCATCTAATCTAAACGATACACTAACTGAATTGGCATTCGAAATTATTTCTCACTTTTCAAAAAATAACAGATTTTTGGTATTTTTTAATTGGAACATAACTACAATCTATCTATTCTTACAGAAATGATTTAATATCAGCCAGGTAAAGTAATTCATGTTAATAAGCACTTTCAGCGCAAATTTCGAAGAGTATTGTTAGAATGTCTGAAGAAAATGGATTATCCTGAATTCCAAGAATCCATGGAAAGTTTTAGCACAACTGGCGACACAAATTTTTTCGGCTAATTTCAAATTTTATAACATTCGTTTTTAAGTTACAAAATTAACATTTTTTACTAAGGATAACTAAGGTGTCATCTTTGTTTACAATGATTATTTTTGTTATAAAGTCACGATTGTCGAATCTGTCCCCAAGATCGCCAAAATCCAACTAGAACGTAAACGGAGTTTGCGCTCCCGAAAAAGCTGGACTATAAGGAAGACCAGGACTTCATGAAAATGGCGGAAGAATGACTCTCAAAAGAATCAAAGGGTTTGAGCGGATATCTCGGACTATCAGAGACGAAGAAAGTAAGATGATTTGTAATTTTTATCTCATCTAAAACTTGAAATTATTTATTGAACTTGGTACTTGAAAGCATTTGTAAGAAAAATCGGACCAAAAACTTCACCAGGAGCTTCAAACCTCTCTCAAAATTCAGTATCAGGTAAAATGTTCTGTAGCTGTGCTAGGTGAAGATGTACATTGCTCCTTACACGCGTATTAGTAACCTATCGAAGTTGGCTGACATATATATTAGCTGAACAAGTTACTTGTCAATTAAACAGTGTTGTTTCGCATAAGAAAAAAAAAAGCAAGCAGGCATTACAGGAAGATTCTTTAAGATATTATAATGAATCTACTGGTCGGGGTATTCCATGTTATGAAAATATCTAGCATGCTGCTCATTCATGCAAATGAAGCCACAATATCAATCTTTCTAAGACATACCATAACCACTAGAACTACTTTTGATCTTTATTTACAGCAGATGGTATTGTGCTGAAAACACTGATATCACAAGTAACTTATATATTAGTCCCTTCGCTACAAAAAATTCGGTTCAAGTCTTTCTTTACTAGAATTACACTAAATTGTCGTAAAATAATAGAGTTGCAGTTAATTCAATAAAAATAACTTTGTGATTACCAAGATTAATAACGTCAACTATATTGTGCAGAACCGCATTTGTACATATACAATTTCCGACAAGTATAATATCAGTTAGGTCTCAGGAAAGCTTCATTCTGATTACAAAAAGAGTAATTAATATTTCTGAACCTAGTCCTCCCAATAAACTATTTCTTAATGACAGACAGAAAGCTTCCTCATTCCCGCCAATCTTTACAACAACATCATATAAAATAACTCAAGGTGCGCATTTCCCTCATTGTTCTTTCTCCCTAAGATACCTTTTAAGTCTAAGAATTTTCTAATGACAAACTATGCTTCAGCACTTTAATGGTTGCATGATTCTTCGTAGCACTATCATGATTTTGCCAGAAAATTTTTCCGTTTCTGTTAATTAACTTCTGTGTGACTGATCAATCTCGAAAAAGAGCTTGCCTTATGCCGAATTTGAACATTTCAATCCAAACCAGAAGTTCGATAACATATGCTGCAAAATTTAAACAAAGAAATTAGCATAAGGAGTAAGGCATTTTGTTAACTGCTACATTCTTCTCGGTATATTATGGCTGGCCGATGTTCACAGCTCACGCCTACCAATTGATGCAAAAATGCGTTGTAAGGTGTAACAGAGATGCATGGAGGCACAAATGACTCATTTATTTCAGTTCTCATTGCATTCATTCTTATGTTCCTTAAGTGATATCGAGTAAGTTATTTTGACTAAAAATTGTCTCTCTTGTTTCTTTTAAGATTTACCTGATTTGCTTTTGAATATTTTTCTGTAGTAGTCCTTTGTTGTTGCTCACAAGAATTGTGCAATTGCACAAGCTGTGCAGATGTTTAGTCTTTATTCAAATTGCATACGTTGATAAACGAAGAGGAAATTGAAGGAATAATCTTTAGCAATTATCCCTTATTTTTTCTCGTAAATAGAGATGACTGAAAAAATTCTGTATCTCTGTACCATAATGAAGTTACTGCAGTTTCCATCAAGTCCTTATTCACTTGGCGTCTCATTCAACTTATCTTGCAACTTTTCTGTCTTGTTACACACCGTTTATTCACATCAGAAATGCTGATTCTAGACAAGTTTTTACTTCTAATCATGTAAGGTGATAATAATAGTTTTATTCGCCTGAAAGCTGATAATGTGTTTAAATATTCACTAACAATGAATTAAAACAAAAATCCTGTGAAATAACAAACGGTAGTTGTTGGATATGCGATAATGATATGACAACTAAGAGTAGTTCACATCACAAACAAACGTAATAAGTAAACTCAACAAACTACTGCACAAACGCAATACTTATTCACGTTTTATTTCTTGTACTCAAATGTTCCATTTTATTTTTTTCTAATTTTTTTTACTCTAGATGTAATGTCTGCAAATTCTGGTCAAGTAATATTGGGGCCAACAACAAAACATGCAAGTACTGGCACGAATACTGCTCCTCTTGTACTTCCACAATATCATGGTACCTCAGCATCCCAAAATATGGTGCAGATGTCAAATACTGGAGCACATTGTTCAACTGATTTGCCGAGTCCAAATGACCAAACTGGACCGCATTTGCTACAAGTGGCATCTGCTCAGCATCCAACAAGTTCTGATGCATGTGCCACGATCACACAGTGTTTGATGATGTACCAAACGGTAAATTTATGTTGATCCAGTCTTTGTAACATAAGCATCTTAATGAAAACATTGTGCTGAACAAAACACTAAAAAGATATTTAGGTTTTGTTAAGAATGATCACAAATAATGCACCTAGTTCATGTTCGCTATAAAAACATCAGTGTACTTAAAATGAGGTAGAGATACGTCAACCTTTTTAGGGACGTGATGAAGAATTTAATCGCAAGGCGATTGAAAGTTTAATCAAAAAACTAAAAGACAAGCGTGATGAGTTAGATGCTTTGATTACTGCCGTAACATCCTATGGAAAAGTTTCTTCAAAATGTATCACCATTCAGCGCACTTTAGATGGGAGACTACAGGTTTTAATAAAGCATTTTTATTTCTCACATCTCGTCCGTTTTATATTATTATTTTTGTAGTCTGTTGAAAGTATGTTTGAACCTATCGAAGTAAGTCTGCTGGCACTTTTTCAGTATGTAATTTCTCTCCAAGCGCTTTAACGACTTTAACCTTTGTTTCTCAATTTAAGGGGACCAGCCATCCATCTTTTGTTACTGTACTGTCATTTGTGCTTGATGTGTTTGTCATTTGAACAATGGTTTAGTTTCGTATGGTTGAAGAATAATATGAGGTTATTGGGTATTGATTGATGAGTCATATCACGATTTAATTTTTGGCATTTTCAGGTTGCTGGAAGAAAAGGCTTTCCACATGTAGTTTATGCGCGGATTTGGAGATGGCCAGATTTGCTTAAGAACGAGCTAAAGCATTTATCAGTATGTCAATGCGCATTTGATCTCAAATGTGACTTGGTAAAGTTTGGATGCACTTAATAAGTTGAGTATAGCAAACAAAATTTTCCGCTTTTTTATAATTCTTGCTTCTTTGTAACTGACATCATTCCTCCATCTGTCCTGTTTCAGGTTTGCGTTAATCCGTATCATTACGATCGTATTGTCCCTCCTGGTATCGGAACAATTGATTTGTCAAATTTGAAAATTGAACATCGTTCCTCTCCGTCTCAAGATGATTCAAAATTGCTATTTTCAGGAACTGTAGGAAACAACAATAATTTACCCAAGTAACTGTAACTGAAAAGTTGCTCATAACAATCCTTTATATTTTACTGGTTTATGTGTGATCTATTAATAATCAAACTTTTGAATGTTGTAAGCATTTTCTTCACTATCTGTGTATTGCTGGGAATCTCATAGACTCTATTTGGCACAGCTTGCAATTAACTTCTGAAAACTATTTAATTTTATGAAGTTATAGGAACTCAGGACGTAGGGATAGTGATGGATGGACTACGGATTCACCTGCCTATTCATCAGCACTAGATGCTTCTGATATTACAAAAACAAGTAATGACATCTTTCAAGAAACTGTTTTCAATATAGTCTTTTTAACTCTACGCAAAAAATTCACAACAAGATTCATTTTTATTAAAGAAACTAGAACAGTATCTGTTGGTGAGCAAAATCCGTTTTGTGCTTCGGATATTCATGCATCAGCAAATCATTCTGCATGGAGTATCAGTGATCATAATGTGTCTTCATTAGTTACTGTCCCATCGCAGATTTGTAAGTCTTTTATAGAATTAAAGGAATTTTAGCAATTTATTTTGCTCCTTTCCGTTGTATGATTTTGGATTTTATAATTTTTTTCTATTTCTAGCTGCATCAGCAGGAGGAGTAAATAGCGTGTCATTCGCAGCTAATTCTGTGCAGTCATCAAATATCTTCTCAACTCAGCCTGCCGCAGTAATGCTAAATTCATCATTACAAGTGTCTCCTTCATCAGCATTATGTGGTTCTCGTGAGTAAAATGTTATTTACTTTTAATTTTGATAATCAATTTTAATTATTTTACATTGTTTGGAGAGACTGCTTTCAAAACAGAAATTTCGCTCTTATATTTGTTTCCAGTTAACAGTTATAAATATATATTCAAATAAAATCCTTACAAAGGATGTTTAAAAAGCATAAAAAGAACTATGAGAAGTAATCTGGGATATCATGTATTGAAATTTTTTTGCTATTATTTAGGAGTTCCTCGCCATTCAGAATCTAGGATTCGGGGTAGAGCCGAACCTGTTTTGCTCAGTCCACGTAAGTAGTATCATTTTCACTTGTTATTTGCTTTCTGTGATTGGTTACAAAGGCCTTTTTGCAATTCTCATTGAAAAAAGCATTGGTCTTTTTTCACTTTTCACTATTTATAAAACTGATTTAAAGATCCTGCAAACTGGTGCGTTATTTCTTATTATGAGTTCAATACCAAAGTTGGTGAAACATTTGCTGAAAGTGCACCAGCGGTTTATATTGACGGAGGAGTTGATCCATCAGCTCCTGGTCGTTTCTGCTTAGGATCTCTTTCAAATGTTCAACGTACTGATGAGAGTGAGCGGTGCAGGTTAGATGTTAATTTTACAACACAAGTTTTTACTTTATTTATTTTTGCAATTTCGTACTTAATTTTCAGTTACTCAAATGAAATATAAGTTGAATTAGTTCTTTTAATCCAAAATGTTGCCTTACACGAAGTGAATTTTTTATAGAAAACATATTGGTCGTGGTATTCGACTTGACGTTAAAGGAGAAGGAGACGTCTGGCTGACTTGTTTGTCAGATCGGCCTGTTTTTGTTCAGAGTTCCTATCTTGATCGTGAAGCTGGACGAGTTCCAGGAGATGCCGTCCACAAAATTTATTCTCAAGCAACGTTGAAAGTTTGTCTTCTATAAAGTATATTTTATTCTTTTGATCTTTCAAGGTATGTAAAACATAATAGCTGGTGAATTTAACATAACTTACTTTTTTTCAAGAAAAGAATTTACAATCTGAAGTTGTAGAATATGATTTTCCACTATTTTTAGGTTTTTGATCTTCGTCAGTGTTATCATTTATTACGGCAACAAAACATGTACCAGTTAATAGCAACTGAAGTATTGAATGGTCCTGCTCAAAATTCTAGAAACCCATTAATTGGAATAAATAAAGAATCAACCGAACTTGTTGGTCGATTAAGCCAAGTAGTTTTGTTCCTCAATTTTTCGGTCTTTCCATCTTATCCGTTTATTATTGCGAATACATTCGTGTTAAATCAATACTTGATTTTTATTCAGTATTTAAACGTTTGCTAACGTTTGAGAAATGAAGTGTTATTTTTAGGCAGCGAACGTTGGTGTTGACGAATTGCGGAACTTGTGCTCATTAGCTGTATCTTTTGTTAAAGGATGGGGCTCTGATTATGATCGTAAATCTATCAAAGAAACACCATGTTGGATTGAAGTCCAAATAAACAGAGCCCTTCAACTGCTTGATGAAGTTCTTCATAATCCAACGCTAAACAGTTTTTCTAATACTCAGTAACTTCGTTCACTCCTTTCGTTTATGTTGTAAAAATTTAATTTTCATCAACAAATCTATTGTAATATTTCATTTTATACAGGTGACAACTGGTTTTGTTGTTAAATATCTGTGAACTTACGCAGTGTTTCATACATGCTTAAATCTGGCAAAAAGTTTTGCATTTTACTAAATCTAATGCAAATGCCTTTATAAAATTATTTAAAGATATACCAATCACTGAAGAAACAACAAAATATAAGTGAAAAAAATGAGAATACATAAACAAGGATTTATTAGTTTCCGAAATTAAAAACATTTTCTTGGGCTAAAATAAAGCCAAAATAAAAGTAAGAGCTAATATATTGATGGCGAAAGAATATGCAAATCATTTTAGAGCATCTCTGCAACATTGTACCAATAAAAAAAATGCCATATTATGAATGAAATCACAACTAATCATCGTCACCGAAAATATCAGATATGCGAATAGTACATCCACCGTGTTCACAGCTGTATCAAAGTCAGATTCACAGTGAAGTCATCAAGTTCCGATTAGATCCAAATTAATGCAGAGTACCAGAATAAGCAAAGTGTGATATCGCCACGCCACATCCTAGCATAAACTTTCTAAGTTGCTGTCTTTGACCGCCAAAGATCATTCTCGGAATGTTATTAATATGTAAGACTGCTTCATTCTTAGACTGCATGACTTTTCATTTTCAAGAAAAGTGGTTCCACAAAGCTTCTTGCACACTCGTTCTTGGACATGTGTAAACAGGATTTCAGTATTCTTAAGTCAGTAGTAACAATGGAGCCACATATGATGGATATAATTTGGTGATACCGTGTATTTCGCACAATTCCGATAATATGTCGAGATTGAATCAGCAAGTTGACGTCTCCATCAGTAATTTTCTCATATTACGACGAAACATTGCTGACTGCTTGGAGACTTCGTACGTTCAGTCTGACGCATGTTTTTTAGTAGTACGCTTTTTTTTTGTTGCATTTTTAGGAAGAGCACTTTTGCAATTAATTTGCATTCACGCAGTATGGTAATCCTACTGCAGTAGACTACGATTCTGGTGTGCTGTCTACGATACATCTTGCTATTTTAGCACTGAGAAGAATGTGGAGCTCAAAAAAACTATTTAGCGAAAGAAAAAATAATATTTGGGCATTGTAGATAAGAACGCTGCTATCACTGACTACATAGTTCGTAAACATTCATATTTCATCAATGATCTCAAATAAGATAAAGTAATTCAGATTTTTTAAATGTCATGCAACTCTCCACAGCCTAGCACAAGCCATAAAAATACATCGTCTCATTTAGTACAATGTTTAGAAATGCGTAAAATTAGGCTAACAGAATAGACTGAGGAAGCAATTTCAAGATTGAAAATTAACTTTCATTTCGTCTTATTTTATCCACAACTTCCAAGAATCATCATATCACGATTTGAAGTTGACACACGCTCAATTTCATGTTCTGATAAAAGCGTGTGTCGTGAGAACCGTAATTACTTAGGTTGAATGCTTAAGAGTAAAAAACTACTAGATCTACTTCTTGCAAATGTTTCTGAAAAATGTCACTCTGCTCTACTGCCCGCAAAGTCAGAGATATTGAAGCAAATAATTTAAGAACGAATCTTCCGTGTACCAAATGCTGCTTGTCATAGACGTGAATCCTACACTTGTACGCTGATCTA